GCCCCTGCAGCTGCTGCAGCCCGAGCTCCATCCCTGCTCCCCCAAGTGTGCTCGGGAGGTGTCTAAGGAGAAGAGATTTGTCCTCCAGTCCCCTGGGATCTGCCATGGGGCTCTCCAGGCTTTTTGCTGTGAGCCCTGGATCCCTCCAGTCCCTGCAGAAGGTGAATATGTCACTGCTGCAGAGACGTAAATGTCACCTTCCAGACTGAATGTCCCCCCCTGTATTTCACTTGTAAGTGGCCCTGGTGTCCCCTAAAGTGTCAGAAGCTTCAGGATGGCACCGCAAGTGTCACAAGCCCCATCCCAAAGAGCTAGTGACCTCTGGCTGTACCCAGGTCTTTGCAGGTGACATAGAGTCATCAAATGGTTTAGGTTGGAGGGACCTTAAAGCTCATCAAGTCCCACCCCCCATGGGCAGGGACACCTCCCAGCAGCCCAGGCTGCTCCAAGCCCCATCCAACCTGCCCTTCAACACCCCCAGGGATGGGGCAGCCACAGCTTCCCTGGGCAACCTGGCCCAGGCTCTCCCCACCCTCACAGGGAAGAACTTCCTCCTCACGTCCAACCTCAACGTACCCAAGGCTTGTTCCTGCTTTTTACAGGTGGGAAAGAGGAGGGTCCTTCAAGGCCCCTCACCCCTTTCCCCCCCACCCCGGGGTGCGTTCCGGGCTGCGCGCATCGGCTCCCAGGGCACAGCAAGGCAAAGCCATGCAAGAACAAAAACCCACCACCCCCTTCCACAAACCAGGGAAGAGGGTTTGGGGGGAGATGGGGGCTGCAGACCACCAGCTACTCACTGCGAGCCGGTAACTCTGCATCATTTTATCAAACTCCTCATCAATCCTTTTATATTTCTCCTCCGTCTGGGGGGTCAACGCAAACACTTCATCCCCTTCCGGGCTCTCGCACTCCCTGTGCTTCTTGTTCAGTGCCTGTCACACCAGTTTGGTTTTTGGGGAGGTTGGGGTGGGGGGAGGAGGTTGGAGGGAGGTTGAACAGAAAACAAACGAACAAACAAACAGAAAAAGAACAGATCATGAAGTGGATCCAAGCAAGGGGTTGGTACTTACACCGTAGCGCTTGAACAGGATGTCCAGGTCCTCGCTGCCTTTCCGGTATTTATCCTCCATCAAGGGACTCTGGTCTATGGAATCATCTCCGTCGGGTTCTGGGCTGTCACAGCCATTAAAACCTTTCTTTCTTAACGTCTGAAAACACAATCGGGACAGTTTTGAGGTCTGGGAGTGGGGCTGGAGGACACAGGGACGTGGAGACGGGGCAGGTTCCCTCCCCGCCCCGGAACATCCCCTGGAGGATCAAGGTGAGGAGAAATGAAGAGTCCAAATGTTGTTGGAGGAGGAATCAGGATCCAGACTTCAAGTTTTCACAGAAAAATGGAATTGTTTGAGTTGGAAGGAACCTTCAAGCTCATCCAGTCCCACCCCCCCATGGGCAGGGACACCTCCCAGCAGCCCAGGCTGCTCCAAGCCCCATCCAACCTGCCCTTCAACACCCCCAGGGATGGGGCAGCCACAGCTTCCCTGGGCAGCCTGTTCCATCCTCATACTGAACAATTTCCTCCTCATGTCCAACCTAAACCTCCCTCTTCCAGTTTTAATCCATGACTTGTTATCCTCTCACTACAAACCCTTCTCCAAACTCCCTCTCCAGCTTTCCTGAAGCCCCTTCAACTCCTGGAAGGTTTTGACACTGGGGTATCTGTAATTAAGGAATTACAACGTGGGGATGGATGGAGGGATGGATGGATGGATGGATGGATGGATGGATGGATGGATGGAGGGATGGATGGAGGGATGGAGGGATGGATGGATGGATGGATGGATGGATGGATGCAGACAAACTTCTTTGCTTTCAAAAGTTCTGTTTACTCCAGAGCTGAACTTGGCCCTGGACCAGCTCAGCCACATTCGTCACCTACAATTACTACAATGACACAGGAGGGGAAATAAACTTTAATGACATTTGCTCCCTGGCTAAAAATAGGGAAAACCTTCCCAACAGGAAAAGAAAACCCAAAATAATAAGTCCAAACCACCCCAGCTTGTCCCTGGAGGCACCATTTCCTGCACAAGAGGGGACACGTGGCTGGGGGTGACAGTGACAACACCCCAGTAGCAAAGAGGTAACACCATGTTCAGGTTGGTGACAACCCCCCCCAACAAGAGTCTCTCTCTGGTGTTTAGCATCTCATTTGCATATTGTGTGACACAGGCACAAGGAATCAGTTGGATTTTCCAAACACCAAAAGCAAATGAGGCCTCATTATGGATCCATCACTTGCCAGTTTGATGGGGTTGGTTGTTTGTTGTGTTTTTGAAGGAGTCAAAGCTCCAGGATTTCCTGGAAGTCTTGGTCTCTTTTCCTGCCAAATTCATCAGGGGGGGGGGAGGGAAGAAAAATAAACAATTAATAATCATAAAAAGAGCCTTGATAATTCTCCTCTCTCTTCCTCCACAGGAAGAAACAGCTCAACCTGGAGGCTAAAAATGTATCCTGGAGATGCTCCTCATCTACCTGTGGGCCCTGGGAAACTGGGAATTTGAATGGGAATTTTTGCTGGAGCAAAAAAACCAGCATCAGGCCCTGGAAAGGCTGGAAAATCAACACCTGACCCCCCAGGTCCTGCTTGGAGGATGTTTTAGGTGACCATGGTCAAGCAACAGGCACCAACCCCAACCCTCAGCCTTTCTTCCACCCAGCTGAAGCTTCTCCCTTCCACATTTATAAATGATGAACATTAAAAATGATGAAGCTTTAATATTTTCCATTCAAATTCCTCCTTGGTGGTCACTTTCCCACCTTTCTTTCACTCTGCTTGAAGCTGCAGAGGGGAAAAGTCCTCAGGCACCTCCAGCTCCACCAGCAAAAGGACGTGACCACCTGAAAACCCCTCCTTGGTGGCCCCACAAACTCCTGCTACTTCATCATTATGACTTCATTACCTCGTAACTCCTGCTACCTCTAATCTGTGTTATTTATTGTCTCTTTACAGAGGAAGGTTGAGGGAATCCAAGTCATTGGCACGAGCAGGAGGTTCCCGGGGTTGTTTTTGTTCCGCAGGTTCCTGTGGATTTTTCCTCCTTCTCCCGCTATTTTTAGACACGTCCTTGTTTCGTTTTTAGGATGGGCCAAAAAAAGCAACGGGTGCTGCCGGTGGGGAAGGAACAACCTCACCTCATCCTCACCCTTTTTTTTCTCTTTCTTTGGGGGGTGGGGGATTGGTTTTTGGTGGCTTTTCTTTCAGGTCTCAAACCTTTTGTTTTGTCGACGCGGCCGAAAGGCAGAAAATTGAGCCCGTCTTTTAAAAACCAAACAAACCAACACGTTGGGGCTTTTTTCCCCCTCCTTCTTTCTTTTTCAGAGGCAAAATGGAAACAAATTGTTCCATCCAAGCAGAAGGGATGAAGTTTTGTTGCCTCCAGGTGCCAGCTGGGGAGGTTCTCCAGTGTCTAGTGAGAGGTTGTGCTCTTCTCTTTGGGATCTAAGACAACGTCAACGTAGACACCAGGACCTTGTCTTGGTCTCTTCCCTCTCCCTGGCCATAAATCCATCAAATCTGCTGCTCAAAAAGAGGTCTGGGGACAAGAAAAACACAATTTCCAGCCATGGAAGCATTGGCTGATGTGGGTTTTACTTCATTTGCTTGGACCAAAAAAGAAAAAGGAAGACAAAAATGTGCGTCCCACATTTTCTGCCCTTTGCCACGATGATGTAAAAGGAAAACAATCCTGTTGGAGTGAGAATCAAACCCAAAGATTCCTGGTTTTGGGATCTCTGCAAGGTCTTCAGAGTGGAGAAGGGGTTGCTTTCCACCTCCTTCCCTTTTCCAGGGGAAAAGTAGAAGATGCAAAGAGACACGAAACCCTTTTGGTCCCTGGGCTGAGTCCAGCAGAACACGATGGGTTTTTCAGGTTTCAACTCGATTCCTTCCCAGCAGGAAATTTTCAGAGGAGAAAACCAGGGTGAGAACTTCACACGACAAAGAGAAAACACCCTGCTGATCATCAAGTCCTCTCCCTGTCACCCCCAGGTCCCCCCAGTCCATTGGGAACCACCCCCCATGGCAGATCCTGCTTTTCCAGACAATGCTCCTGTGATCCCAGCTGAGATAGGAGCAGATTTCCAGGCCAAAGAGGGTGAGAGGGCAGCAGGAAACATGGAATATGGGAGAGGAAATGATGCTGGGCCAGGATGTGGGTGACTTCCTTAGAGGAGGGAGATCCAACCCTCCCCTGGGCTTTGGGGAAGTCTGGCTGAGGATGAGGATGAGGATGAGGATGAGGATGAGGATGAGGATGAGGAAGAGGATGGGGATGGATGAGGATGAGGATGGGGAGAAGAATGAGGTGATAAGGATGGGAATGAGGATGGGATAAGGACAAGGATAAGGATGGGGACTCGCATGGGGACAAAGATGAGAGGGTAAGATGGGGATGAGGATGGAAATGAGGGAAGGGAGATGGACACAACAGCCCCTGAAGTCACACACACACAGTCCCAGGATGGTTTGGGTTGGAGGGACCTTCAAAATCATCCAGTTCCAACCCCCCCCATGGGCAGGGACACCTCCCACCAGCCCAGGCTGCTCCAAGCCCCATCCAACCTGCCCTTCAGCACCCCCAGGGATGGGGCAGCCACAGCTTCCCTGGGCAACCTGGCCCAGGCTCTCCCCACCCTCACAGCCAAGAATTTCTTCCCAAGATCTCATCTCCAGCTCCCTCTGCCAGTTTTAATCCTTCTTCTCATCCCATCCCTCCCTGCCCTTGGCCCAAGTCCCTCCCCAGCTTTCCTGGAGCCCCTTCAGGCCCTGGAAGCTGCTCTAAGGTCTCCCTGGAGCCTTCTCCTCTCCAGGCTGAACAAATCCACTTTAAATCATATTTGCTCACAAATCCACACCCTGGGCCTTCATGACTCTGTAACTGCTCAAGGTTGGGGAAGCTCTGAGGAGGCAAAGATACTCTTGGAGGAGCCAAGTTCAACTGGGAGCCACCAAGATAGACAAGATAAACTGGGTCTGTGCACACTGGGGACAAAGCCAGGTGAGTGGGAGAGGGGAGATGGAAATGATGGAATCATAGGATGTGTTGGGTTGGAAGGGACCAGGAGCAAGAACGGCCTCCTGAAGTGGGAGGACCTGGGAGAGAAACCAGTAAAAACCTTCCAGCAGCTCCAAGACAAGAGCAGGACAGGGAGGGATGTTGAAGTGGCCTCCAAACCTGCGCACACCCCAGCTGGCTTCACCCCAAGGCTGCTCTGCTGAGCCCAGCATGTTGGGGCTCCTTTCCTTGGCATCCACTAACATCCTTCTGCTCCTCATCTTCCTCTCCTGGGCTTTGGCTGCAGCTCCAGCTTTTCATGTGGTGCAAACCCAGGGAGTCCTTTGGGTGCCAAGGGCTGCGTGGGGCTGGTTGGCTTGGGAGTGTTTGCATTTTGGACCAGAAGGGCAGGGAGAACATTGCCCAAAATGTTGACAGTATTTTTAGGCCAAGACAAACCTGTTTGGGTGCTGAGGGATGAAGATCCTGGTGGGAACTGGGCCTGCAGAACCCGGGGTCCTCAGGGTGGCAGGATGGGATCATTCAGGTTGGAAAAGACCTCGCAGATCACCTCGAAGGTCACCCCCAAGTCCAACCATCAAGTCAACACCTCCATGCCCTCCAAACCAAGCCTTGAAGTGCTACATTCACATGGGATTTGAAGCCCTCCAGGGATGGGGACTCCACCCTGGGCAGCCTGGGCCAGGGCCTGACAACCCTTCCCAGGAAGGAATTGTTCCCAAGATCCAACCTCAACCTCCCCTGGGCAACTTGAGGCCCTTTCCTCTTGTCCCATCCCTTGTTCCTGGGGAGCAGAGCCCGACCCCCCTGGCTCCAACCTCCTCTCAGGCAGCTGCAGAGCCAGCAGGTCTCCCCTCACCTCCTGCTCTCCAGGCTGGACACCCCCAGCTCCCTCAGCCACTCTTTGGAAGTTCTCCAGACCCTTCTCCTTGTGCTCCAGCCCCTTCCCCAGCTCCATAGCCCTTCTGTGGATACACTCCAGCCCCTCCATGTCCTTCTCCCTGTTCCACACTAAACAGCCCCAGGTCCCTCAGCCTCTTCTCATCAAACAGATCTTCCAGTCCCTTCATCACCCTCGTAACCCTCAAAGCCTGAAGACAGCTTCAAACTCCACCCCCCAGAAATGCCTATTTTTGTAGGCTGGACCAAAAAAAGATGCAAAACCAGGTTGGGACCCCCATCCCCACCCTGCACCAACCTCCAGCTGTGGTGCCAGACCTGGGCAAAGCCCCAGAGAGGCCGGGGCGACCTCACCTCGATGATGTCCGCGTTGGTCCGGCTCTCGTGGGGCTCGTTGTACTCGGTGTACTTGAGGAGCACCTTGTCCATGTCAGTGCTGGCATATTGGAACAGCTTGTTGGAGTGGTTGAAGATGATGAGGGCGATCTCACAGTCACACAGGACACTCAGCTCGTAGGCTTTCTTCATCAAGCCGAACTTGCGCTTGGTGAAGGTCACCTGGAGGCAAGGAGAGGGTGGTCAGAAGCTGTGCCCACCTTGAACAGACCTGGGACCTCCTGGAGGAAAACTGGGGTGGACACTGGAGGGAAATAGGAGGAGGGCAGAGGGAATCTTCTGTCCTCCATCTCCCCACTGGACAACCACCCCAATCTGGGATCCTCCACAGACACTTCCCAAGCACCAGGATGATGATGATGATGATGATGATGATGATGGTGATCAGCCCTGGAAATCACATCTTTACCAAACCAAGAGCAAATACATTTCAGCAACATCTCCAGCAGAGCCACCATCTGTCTGGGGGCTGGGGGGGGGTTGGGTCTGTTTGAACACTCAGGCAGCAGAGATCTTGTCCTCCCAGCAGCAACGTGAGCACCCGACCCTGGGGGCTGCAGAACTGGGGGGCTTGGCCACCCCAAAGCTGCCCAGGGTGCTGCTCCACACCACTCATGGAATCATGAAATCATGGCACAGTTTGGGTTGGAAGAGACCTTGAAGATCATCCAGATCCAACCCCCTCCATGGGCAGGGACACCTCCCACCAGCCCAGGCTGCTCCAAGCCCCATCCAACCTGCCCTTCAACACCCCCAGGGATGGGGCAGCCACAGCTTCCCTGGGCAACCTGGCCCAGGCTCTCCCCACCCTCACAGCTAAGAATTCCTTCCTCATGTCCATCTCCCCTCTCCCAGTTTAAAGCCATTACATCCTTGGGAGCTGCCTGGGGTTGGGGACAGAGTTTGGCCACCAGATCCAAAACCCTTCTCCTGGGGCTGCCCAGATGTTGGGCTGCAATTCCCAGCCCAGGCTCAGCTCTTGCCATGACGCTCCCAACCAGCCCCAGGAGGTGGGGAGGGGGATGTTTAGGGGGTCACTGAATGGTTCTGGTTAGAAAAGACCTTGAAGATCATTGAGTCCAACCATTAAACCAACTCTACCTAGTCCAGTGATTAAACCACGTCCCTCAGCACCATCTCCAGGGCTTGGAAACCCCTCCAGGGATGGGGACTCCACCCTGGGCAGCCTGGGCCAGGGCCTGACAACCCTTCTCAGGAAGGAATTGTTCCCAGGATCCAACCTCAACCTCCCCTGGGCAACTTGAGGCCCTTTCCTCTTGTCCCATCCCTTGTTCCTGGGGAGCAGAGCCCGACCCCCCTGGCTCCAACCTCCTCTCAGCAGCTGCAGAGCCAGCAGGTCTCCCCTCACCTCCTGCTCTCCAGGCTGGACACCCCCAGCTCCCTCAGCTCCACTGGCCTCACAATCATGGTCCAAAAACCTTCACCTGGAGCTTCCCTGTCCACACCAGCCCCAACAAGGATCCTCCCCCAGCCCTGAGCACCCCTGGGACATCTCCCATCCCTCCACGCAGAGCACGTGGCTCAGGGAGCCACCTCCCCAGGGTGATTAAGCAGTAACGAGATTGGGCTCTAATCCCCTCATCCCCGGGGCTGCTCCTCAACACGTGCGGCCGCTCCTGGGCACGAACATGGGACCTGCCAGGGGCAGAGCTGGGGCCTGCAGGGCTGGAGCTGCTGGAGAGAGTCCAGAGGAGGCCCCTGAGATGCTGGGAGGGCTGGAGCAGCTCTGGAGCCAGGCTGGGAGAGTTGGGGTGTTGAGCCTGGAGAGGAGAAGGCTCCAGGGAGACCTTAGAGCAGCTTCCAGGGCCTGAAGGGGCTCCAGGAAAGCTGGGGAGGGACTTGGGCCAAGGGCAGGGAGGGATGGGATGAGGGGGAGGGATGAAAAGTGGGAGAGGGAGCTGGAGGTTGGAGCTGAGGAGGGAATTGTGGAGTGTGAGGGTGGGGAGAGCCTGGGCCAGGTTGGCCAGGGAAGCTGTGGCTGCCCCATCCCTGGGGGTGTTGAAGGGCAGGTTGGATGGGGCTTGGAGCAGCCTGGGCTGCTGGGAGGTGTCCCTGCCCATGGGGGGTGGGACTGAATGAGCTTGAAAAGTCCCTTCAACCCAACCCATGCCATGATTCTCTGAATTCCCCCTCTCTGGTGCCATCCTGGACCTCTCAGCCTCCCACACTGGTGCTGCTCCCAGGACCAGGAAGAACCTGGCAGTGTCACACCTCGGCCCTGTGGCTTCAGGTGGGACCCACCTGTGGCTTCACTCCTGCAGCCCACAGGAGGACAGGCAGTACAGCCCACCTGGGCTTCCACACCCTGGTGCCAGCAGCATTTCTGGTCCATGTCCCCACCAGACCCAGCTGCTCCACCACAGCTGGACTCACAGAACCACAGAATCAAGGAATCCTTAAGGTTGGAAAAGACCTCTAAGATCACAAAGTCCAACCATCAACCCAAAACCCCCGTGCCCACCAAACCATGTCCTAAAGTGCCACATCTACATGTTTTTTGAACCCCTCCAGGGATGGTGACTCCCCTGGGTCACTGCTTGGACAGTCTTCAGTGAAGACATTTTTCCTAATACCCAATCTCAGCCTCCCCTGGCACAACTTGAGGCCAGAGATGCTCACGTTGCTCTGACCCATGAGCTCTGGAGAGGAAAACACGTGGGATCTCCACGGGGAACAGCCCAGGGTGGTTGTTTCTGCAGCTGGTGGTGCTGGGGACACCTCTCTAAAAAAACACCTCACCAAAAACACCCCATGAAGAGACATCTCACTAAGAAAACACCTCAAGGAAAAACACCTCAAGAAGAAGCACCTGAAGAAGAAACACCTCAAGAACACCTCAAGAAGAAACACCTCACCAAAAACACCTCAAGAAGAAACACCTCACCAAAAACACCTCAAGAAGAAACACCTCAAGAAGAAACACCCACCAAAAACACCTCAAGAAGAAACACCTGACGAAAAAAACACCCCATGAAGAAACACCTCACCAAAAAACACCTCAAGAAGAAGCACCTTAAGAAGAAGCACCTTAAGAAGAAACACCTCAAGAAGAAACACCTCACCAAAAACACCTCAAGAAGAAACACCTCAAGAAGGAACACCTCACCAAAAAACACCTCAAGAAGACACACTTGACCAAAAAACACCCCATGAAGAAACACCTCACTAAGAAAACACCTCGAGGAAAAACACCTCAAGAAGAAGCACCTTAAGAAGAAACACCTCACCAAAAAACACCTCAAGAAGACACACCTGACCAAAAACCACCTTGCCAGGAGCCACGAGCCCACTTGGCCACTGAGAGAGGAGGCAACAGGCTGAGGCCACAGCACATGAGCTCTTGGCCACGAAGACTCAAACCAAGCACTGAGTCTTGAGCAAGAGAAGGACAACATGAGGTCACCTGCCCCAAATCAACCAACAGCCTGAGCAGAGCCAAGGAGACCCCAAAACACCCCATCCCCCCTCTGTGGGCGCAGGGATGATCCCTCCAGAGCCAGGGAGCAGGTGGAGGAGCACCCATCCCTGGTGGCACCCCCACTTCTGGCCGAGGAAAGCAAAGCCCTGCCATCCCTCCAGCCCTGTCACCACCAAAGCATCACCCAACACCACCTCCCTCTTCCACCCGTGACCCCGGGGACCCCAGACCTTCCCCCGCCGCCGCGCACGAGCCTCGGCGAGAAGAATTAACCTTCTAAGTCTAAGAGGGTAATCAAATCTCATGCTTCAGGACATAAGCCGATCACCAAAGGGGTCAGGAAGGAATTACTGCCCCACACCAGAGGGATTTTTGCCTTTCCCCTGATGCCGACCACGCTGGCCAGGCCAGAGTCAGCTGGTTGGACCTGAAGGGCTGATCTGTTGTGGCAAATCCTCTCCAGTAATTCCTCTAATGACATTAGTGACTCTTAACTTGCTCTGCTCCCCTGGGTTTGGCTCCTGCTGGAGTTCTGGTCCCTGTGGGAGGCAAGAGCCAGGGGGGGATTCAGCCAGGGGGGTAGGTTGGGTGGGAGATGTGTGGGAAGAGCTTCACCTGCCAGGAAAGGCTTTGGGGAGTCTCTGTTCAGCCTCAGCTCTTGGATTATGGAATCATGGAATGGTTTGGGTTAGAAGGGACCTTCAAAATCATCCAGTCCCACCCCCTGCATGGGCAGGGACACCTCCCACCAGCCCAGGCTGCTCCAAGCCCCATCCAACCTGCCCTTCAACACCCCCAGGGATGGGGCAGCCACAGCTTCCCTGGCCAACCTGGCCCAGGCTCTCCCCACCCTCACACTCCACAATTCCCTCCTCAGCTCCAACCTCCAGCTCCCTCTCCCACTTTTCATCCCTCCCCCTCATCCCATCCCTCCCTGCCCTTGGCCCAAGTCCCTCCCCAGCTTTCCTGGAGCCCCTTCAGGCCCTGGAAGCTGCTCTAAGGTCTCCCTGGAGCCTTCTCCTCTCCAGGCTCAACACCCCAACTCTCCCAGCCTGTATTGTGGAATCACAGGATGGTTTGGGTTGGAGGGACCTTCAAGATCATCTAGATCCAACCCCCCCTGCACAGGCAGGGACACCTCCCACCAGCCCAGGTTGCTCCAAGCCCCATCCAACCTGCCCTTCAACACTGCCAGGAATGGGGCAACCTCCTTGAAGATCACAGAATCACAGAATAGATCATCCAGTCCAAACACCAACCCAAGCCCACCGTGTCACTAAACCATGGCCCCAAATGCCACATCCACATGGTGTTGAAACCCCTCCCAGGATGGTGACTCCACGATCATTGAGTCCAGCCATGAAACCAACTCTACCCAGTCCAGTGATTAAACCACGTCCCTCAGAACCATCTACACAGCTTTGAAACCCCTCCAGGGATGGGGATTCAACCACCTCCTTGGGCAGCCTGGGCCAGGGTCTGACCACCCTTCAGTGGATAAATTGTTCCCAAGATCCAACCATCTGGTGGATCACCTAGATGATCTTTAAGGTCCCTTCCAACCCAAACCACTCCATGATCTAAAGACCATCCAGTCCCATCCCTGCACGGGCAGGGACACCTCCCACCAGCCCAGGCTGCTCCAAGCCCCATCCAACCTGCCCTTGAATACACACACATGCTTTTAAATCTTCTTCTTCTGGAAAAAAAGAAAAAGCAGCAGAAAAGGTGTGACAGGTCACCTTGGGGCATCTGCAGAGGTTTGGATCTACTGAGCCAAACTCAATCACCTTGAGAAGCCACAGAGCCAAGGGACCTGCCTGAAAATCTTGTGGTTACGGGGCAACCACAGAATCATAGAATGTTGGGGTTGGAAGGGACCTTTGAAGATCATTGAGTCCAACCCCCCTGCCAGAGCAGGACCAAAACCAGGGCAGGTCACTCAGAAAGGCACCCAGACAGGGCTGGAAAGGCTCCAGAGAAGGAGACTCCACAGCCTCTCTGGGCAGCCTGTCCCAGGGCTCTGTCACCCTCACAGGAAAGAAGTTCTTCCTCATGTTGAGGTGGAACCTCCTGTGCTTGAGTTTGAATCCATTGCCCCTCATCCTGTCCCAGGGCACAAGTGACAAGAGCTTGTCCCACCTTCTTGATGCCCTCATGTATTTATAGACCATTAGATCCCTCCTCAGTCTCCTCCTCTCCAGACCAAACAGCCCCAGGTCCCTCAGCTTTTCCTCATCAGTTCCAGCCCCTTCATCATCCTCCCTTGGACTCTCTCCAGTCAATCCCTGTCCCTCTGGAACTGGGGAGCCCAGAACTGGACACAACACTCCAAGGGAGGTCTCAGCAGGGCCTCAATCCTCAATCAAGAGCCACCACAGATCAAACCTGGTCCCACAAAGAGCTGCTGGTTGGACTCAAGGAACACAGAAATTAGGGATAAATCTGGTTCTCCTTTTTCTTCCCCCTCCTCTGAGATGTTTTTCTACCCCCACGTGCTTGGACTCAACAGAGCACAAGGAATTTAACAACCAACCCCAAAGCCCAGAGAGGTTTTTAATTGTTCAAATGAAATGACAACCAAAACCCCTCCAGAATAATTGGGGTTGTTTGCGTTCCGAAACCAAATCAAACATGGATCCTTGTTGGGGCTGGTTTGGGTTGGAAAAACCTCACGGAAAATGTCAGCTGAGATCTATTTTCTGCAAGGAAAAAAATGGGGCTGGAATGAACTGGTGGAGATAGTTGCTTCTGGAAAAGTGCTTAGATGGAAATGGGATGAGGAGATTCAAGGAGAGGAGCAATGTCTGGGTGGGGGTTGTCACCTCCCACCAGGGGAAAATGGGGCCTTTTGCCTGGTTTTGGGAATCTGCCCGAATCCAAACCCAGTGCTGAGATTCATCCATCTGCTTATGTGATGGGTTGGGAAAGAAAAGCACCAGTTGGTCCCAAACGGGATGGAAATGGGTCAGTTGGAAGCAGAAGCTTTGAAACACCTGGTGGGTGGAGAATAGGTGAGGAGGGAAGGCAGAGGGAAGGGAATAGTGGGGAAAAACAGTGGGAAAAACCCTTCCTCAAAGGGTTGTTGGGTAATGGGACAGGCTGCCCAGGGCAAGGGTGAAGTCCCCATCCCTGGAGGGGTTTCCAAGCCCTGGAGATGGTGCTGAGGGACATGGGGCAGTGGTGGCCTTGGCAGGGCTGGGAGAACAGTGGGACTGGGTGATGTTAAAGGTCTTTTCCAACCCAAATGATTTGATGACTCTTAGAAAAGATGGCAGTCAGATGTGGGGAGGAATCAAAGTCCATGGCTGCTGGAGAGAGTCCAGAGGAGGCCCCGGAGATGCTGGGAGGGCTGGAGCAGCTCTGGAGCCAGGCTGGGAGAGTTGGGGTGTTGAGCCTGGAGAGGAGAAGGCTCCAGGGAGACCTTAGAGCAGCTTCCAGTGCCTGAAGAGGCTCCAGGAAAGCTGGGGAGGGACTTGGGCCAAGGGCAGGGAGGGATGGGATGAGGGGGAGGGATGAAAAGTGGGAGAGGGAGCTGGAGGTTGGAGCTGAGGAGGGAATTGTGGAGTGTGAGGGTGGGGAGAGCCTGGGCCAGGTTGCCCAGGGAAGCTGTGGCTGCCCCATCCCTGGGGGTGTTGAAGGGCAGGTTGGATGGGGCTTGGAGCAGCCTGGGCTGCTGGGAGGTGTCCCTGCCCATGCAGGGGGTTGGATCTAGATGATCTTGAAGGTCCCTCCAACCCAACTGGGTGAACGGTGGGACTGGGTGACCTTCCAGCCCTTTTCCAACCCAACCCATCCCATGATTTGATGACTCTACCCCAAACCCTCCAGCCTCCTGGTCGGGTTTGAGGATCTGGAGGTTCTTTCCCAGCCCAGCCAAGCCCCTGGGGGGACAGAAGCACCAACCTGCCGATTGCGCTCGTCCGTGATCCGCTGGATCTGGATCTTCTTCCTCCCCATCTTCTCGGGAGATTTTCACCTCACCCGGGATGACTTCAGCTCAGGGAGGGGGGGGGACAAGCAACCCCCTTTTAAAATTCTTTCATTAACGAGGGGGAGGAGGTGGGTTTTGCTTCCAGATGGGAAAAAAGAAAAAAACCCCCACAAACCAAAGAAAAAAAGCCAAAAAGGAAAATTAAAAAAAAAAAAAGGAGAGTTGCTCCTGGTTCAGTTCATGGTCCCCTCGTCCGTGGCCTGATCCAGAGGGGCTTGGGCCTCAGTGGCTGCTCAGAAACCTGCACAGGGAGAGAAACAGGAGTGAGACTGTTTGTCCCCAAAGCCCATCCAGGATCCAGCACCTTCCCAGCCCCAGCACCGGTCCCTCCATCTGGGGGGTCCTGGCTCTGTCCTCCCACTCAGCTCTGGGATTAGGAGGTTGGAAAAGGATTTAATCAAATTCCAGACTAGTTTGGGTTGGAAGGGACCTTCAAGATCATCCAGTCCCACCCCTGCACAGGCAGGGACCCCTCCCAGCAGCCCAGGCTGCTCCAAGCCCCATCCAACCTGCCCTTCAACACCCCCAGGGATGGGGCAGCCACAGCTTCCCTGGCCAACCTGGCCCAGGCTCTCCCCACCCTCACACTTCACAATTCCCTCCTCAGCTCCAACCTCCAGCTCCCTCTCCCACTTTTCATCCCTCCCCCTCATCCCATCCCTCCCTGCCCTTGGCCCAAGTCCCTCCCCAGCTTTCCTGGAGCCCCTTCAGGCCCTGGAAGCTGCTCTAAGGTCTCCCTGGAGCCTTCTCCTCTCCAGGCTCAACACCCCAACTCTCCCAGCCTGGCTCCAGAGCTGCCCCAGCCCTCCCAGCATCTCCGGGGCCTCCTCTGGACTCTCTCCAACAGCTCCATGTCCTCCCTGTGTTGGGGACCCCAGAGCTGTTCCCAGCCCTGCAGGGGGTCTCAGCAGAGCAGAGCAGAGGGGACAATCCCCTCCCTGGCCCTGCTGCTCACGCTGCTGGTGACAGCCCAGGACACGGGGGGTTTCTGGGCAGCACATGTTGCTGCCTCATTGGACTGGATTTATCCAACCTGGGCTTGAAAAAAACCCAAGGATGAAGCCCAAAATTGCACCACAGGGCACGGGGATGCTCATGGAGGAGGAAAAATTGGCAGAACCCAGCCCAGGAATCATCATTCCCCCGTGACATTCCAGACTTTTATTGCATCTTTTCCCTTAATAAAGTCATAAGCAGTCAAGGGCAGGGTGATCAGCTTGAGCAATCAAAATCCATCTCCAATTTCTGCATTCATCTTCAATTTGGAGTTTTAAAAGGCCTTTGTTTGATTATTCCAAGAACCCTCTAATCAGGCACAGGAGCCTAATTCCTATGGTGATGGGAAGGGGGAACCCAAAGGGCCTCCCAAGGATGCAGGGACAGCCCAAGGTTCAGCCAGACCCTAGAACAGCCAGATCTTGGTTGTTTCCACCCATTTACTGGGGTGTGGACAACTCAGGGGTATCATTTCCATCCCTATTTCACCCCATTTTTCCAGCACTGGGGGAGAAAGGGGCAACAAAAGGGGCAGGTTCATTTTTCCGCAGGTGTTTTTCTCCCACTTTTCCCCCCGTGTGGCTGGAGAAGAGCAGGGAGAACATCCCATTTCAGGAGAGATGTTCCTCGTGCCAAGAGCCAGGGAGAAGGAAAAGCAAAGCCCAAAATAGCTTCCCTATCTCCCCTGGGCTTGGCAGCCCCCAGCCTTTGGTCTTGGTACAGAAGGAAAACGAATGGAAAAAAGAAAAGCAGCAGCTTTTTCTCCCCTCCCCATCATCCCAAAATTCCCCCCCAGCATCCCCAGCCAGACCCCACCTCCTCCTCATCTCCCACCCCAGAGCATGGAACCCCCTCCCCAGGTCCCACTGAGCCCTCCAAGCACCTTGGTCCCACCCTTCACCTCCTCAGGCTCCAACAACAAACAAGCCCTGAGGGTCCTTGGCCCCACACTCAGTCTTTGGGGTTTATTGAGTCGTGAGACTCAATGATTCTTTTCCTCTGTTTTTTTCTTTTGGGGGGGGGTGTTAAAATTCTTCATGGCTCATCGTGCTCTGTTTCTTCCAGCCCTGGTTGGACAAGCCCAGAGGGGAACAAGGAGACTTTTCCCCTCCAACATCCTCAATTTGCTCTCCAGGGAAGATGAGCAACGAGGAGCCCAGAGAGGTGAAGAGCAGGAAAAATTCCCTTGATTTTCCTCACCAACCCAAGCAGGAAGACTCTTTGCAAGGACAAACCATGTAGGGATGACACTTGCTGCTCAAATCATTATTTTTCCAAGGTGGTGGATGTTCCCTCCCCCCCCACAGCAGCACCTGGGAGGGACCATCTGGCTGGGAGGACCACGGGGGGGATGCTGGGCTGGGGGGTGTCCTGGGGGTGCTGCTCCCCATCCCTCTGGGGCCAGCACCAGGAAGGCTGGTCCCAGAGCACCACAGAATCATAGAATGATTCCAGACCAACACCACTCCCAGACCATCACTGGTCCCAGACCATCCCCAGTCCCAGAGCATCACTGGTCCTAAACCATCACTAGTCCCAGACCAACCCCAATCCCAGACCATTCCCAGTCCCAGACCATTCCCAGTCCCAGACCATCCACAGTCCCAGACCATCCCCAGTCCCAGACCATCCCTGGTCTCAGATCATCACTGGTCCCAGACCATCACTGGGCCCAGACCATCCCCAGTCCCAGACCATCACTGGTCCCAGACCATCCCCAGTCCCAGACCATCCCCAGTCCCAGACCATCCCCAGTCCCAGACCATCACCAATCCAGACCATCACCAATCCAGACCATCCCCAGTCCCAGACCATCCCCAGTCCCAGTCCATCCCCAGTCCCAGTCCATCCCCAGTCCCAGACCCTCGTAGCTCAGCCCAGCCCTGGTGAGCAGGGGCTGCAGGTGCCACCAGAGCCTCCCTCACCAACCTGTGACCCAGGAAAAGCTGAAAACCAGGAGGTTTGTTCCACCCACCCAGGGTGTCCACTTGGCCCTTCCACCCCCACGAGCCCAGGCAGGACTGAACCCCCAGCCCCAGGGTGAGGATCTCACAGATGTGGCAGAGAAGGAACATTCTGCTGAGTTTTCACAGTTTTTTCCTTCAGAGTTGCCATTTCTTTAAAACTGGTTCAAAAATCTTCACCTTCCCCATCCTCCAAACCAGCAGGAGCAGCAGCTCCACATCTGGACCCAGGGCAAAGATGTTAATTCTTTCCTTCTGCTGCAGCTCTTGGACAGAGAAACCTTCTGAGAAGGTTTGGATTTACTGTCCAAACCAGCTAGGAACTCTCCAGAAGCAACAATAAACCCAGCAGAACAACGGGCAATAAATTTCAACCCAGTGAAAGGAACCAGTTTGGTTGTGGGATTTCTTCACAGGGTGGTCCCCGTGGCCAAAAGCTCCTTCCTGGTGCTCCAAGAAGAGCTGGGATGTTTGTGGGGAGGAGGGAAAACCCTGGAGTGGCTCATCCTGGTGCTAGACTGGGGATGGACTGGGACTGGGGATGGTTTGGGACTGGGGATGGTTTGGGACTGGGAATGGTCTGGGACTGGGGATGGTCTGGGACTAGTGATGGTTTAGGACCAGTGATGCTCTGGGACTGGGGATGGTCTGGGACCAGGGATGGTCTGGGACTGTGGATGGTCTGGGACTGGGGATGGTCTGGGACTGGGGATGGTCTGGGACTGTGGATGGTCTGGGACTGGGAATGGTCTGGGACTGGGAATGGTCTGGGATTGGGGTTGGTCTGGGACTAGTGATGGTTTAGGACCAGTGATGCTCTGGGACTGGGGATGGTCTGGGACCAGGGATGGTCTAGGACCAGTGATGGTCTGGGACTGGGGATGGTCTGGGACCAGTGATGGTCTGGGACCAGTGATAGCCTAGACTGGGGATGGTCTGGGACCAGTGATAGCCTAGACTGGGGCTGGTCTGGCACTGCTTCTTGCACAGGAGCAACAGCATCCAAACCACATTCCCCTCCCTGTGCAGCAGCTACAAACTGGGCCTTTTGGTTCAAACCACCTTTTATCCACCACCAGACCAGGTTCCTCCTGCTGCTCTCAACTCCTGAGCCCTCAGCACCGTGGCTGGATGGGGCCCCTCAGCCCAGCCTAGGGTTGGCTCACGCTGCTGGATCCAGTTTCCCAGAGGAAAAAGGCAACTTAACCCCTTTTTTTTCTTTTGGATGCTGTGGGGGGTAGAAAAGGAGTTGGCTGTGGGATGTCCTTGAGCTTTCTCCCCTGCACAGGGAGGAAAACACCTCGTGGATGGGATGAAAAGGAGGGATGGAGAAAAGCCCTCCAAGCTCATCCAATGGGGTTTAAAACTCCTCCCTTATCCCTCTACCCTCCCGGGGTTGGAGCTGGAGTTTTGGTTTTGTTTTCAGGTTTTTGGTGGGTTGTTTTTTTTCTTCCACCCTCCCCTCCCCCCAAGATATTTTTAAACCCAGGTGTTTTCAGGTTTCCTGCCCAGGTGGTTGTTTCAGAAGTCCCACCACAGGCTCCAGTTTCTGAGCAGCATCTGCAAGTGCAAGAGATCCTGGAGAGATCCTGCCCCCAACACCAGCACTGCCTGCTTGGACCCAACCCAGCAGCACCCATCCTGCACCCTGGCCCCAACCAGCACCTCTGAAGCTCCTTTTCCTCCACCACCAAACGGCTCCAGCTCCTTAACTGCCCCTCCTGAAGCATCAGGATCATCCACAACCCTCCTCCACGAGCAGGTGGAACTGAAGCACCAAAAAACACATCCAGCCAAAAGCCCAGAGCACAGAACTTGCAAAAGGAGTTAAATTCCTAAATAACTTTTCAAATGTGGAGCCTTGGGTGTTTTTCTTCAATATAACCCCCCCTTGTCATTAAATCAGCTTCTCCTCCCCCTGAGACAGCAGCTTCTTTCTCCTTAGCCTGGTTTTCCAAGGAAACAAGGCTCAAACCATCCCCATGGTGCCCCCAGGACCAGAGGGG